TAACAAAATTAGTGTGTGCTGTAAATTGCCTCTAGCATTGTTCCTGTTTCTTCTTCTTGGAGGCTGCCATTTGATTGAAGCCCAGAGCCCCCGAGCAGCAGTAAATCCTTAGGCTGTCAGCAAATCTGCCTTTACAAGTTCAGCACAGTGCCTACAAATTGAGAGCAACTGAGCATGTGCAGAGTAGGGTGGGACAGTGCATGTGATGAGCAGAATGAGACAGGATTTTAAAACGTACAGGCACTTATATTTGTTTTACATAGTTATACCTATATACAGTCATGGCCGAAATTGTTGGCACCCTTGATATTTTTCCTGAAAATCAAGTATTTCACACAAAAAAGGTATTGCATTAACACATGTTTTGCTATACACATGTTTATTCCCTTTGTATGTATTGGAACAAATATAAAACAGAGGCAGAAAAGCAAATATGACATAATGTCACACAAAACCCCAAAAATGGGCTGGACAAAAGTATTGGCACCCTTAACTTAATATTTGGTTGCACACCCTTTGGAAAACATAACTGAAATCAGTCGCTTCCTATAACCATCAATAAGCTTCTGACACCTCTCACCCGGAATTTTGGACCACTCTTCCTTTGCAAACAGCTCCAGGTCTCTCTTATTTGGAAGGACACCTTTTCCCAACAGCAATTTTAAGATCTCTCCACAGGTGTTCAATGGGATTTAGATCTGGGCTCATTGCTGGCCACTTCAGAACTCTCCAGCGCTTCTTTGCCATCCATTTCTGAGTGCTTTTTGACGTATGTTTGGGGTCATTGTCCTGCTGGAAGACCCAGGATCTTGGACGCAAACCCAGCTTTCTGACACTGGGCCCTACAGTGCGACCCAAAATCCTTTGGTAAATCCTCAGATTTCATGATGCCTTGCACACAGTCAAGGCACCCAGTGCCAGAGGCAGCAAAACAACCCCAAAACATCATTGAACCTCCACCATATTTTACCGTAGGTACTGTGTTTTGTTCTTTGTAGGCCTCATTCCGTTTTCGGTAAACAGTAGAATGATGTGCTTTACCGAAAAGCTCTATCTTGGTCTCATCTGTCCACAAGACGTTTTCCCAGAAGGCTTTTGGCTTACTCAAGTACATTTTGGCAAACTGTAGTCTTGCTTTTTTATGTCTCTGTGTCAGCAGTGGGGTCCTCCTGGGTCTCCTGCCATAGCGTTTCATTTCATTTAAATGTCGACGGATAGTTCGCGCTGACACTGATGCTCCCTGAGCCTGCAGGACAGCTTGAATGTCTTTGGAACATGTTTGGGGCTGCTTATCCACCATCCGGACTATTCTGCGTTGCAATCTTTCATCAATTTTCCTCATCCGTCCACGACCAGGGAGATTAGCTACAGTGCCATGGGTTGCAAACTTCTTGATAATGTTGCGCACTGTGGACAAAGGCAAATCTAGTTCTCTGGAGATGGACTTGTAACCTTGAGATTGTTGATATTTTGCCACAATTTTGGTTCTCAGGTCCTCAGACAGTTCTCGTCTCCTCTTTCTGTTGTCCATGCTTAGTGTGGCACAGACAGACACACAATGCAAAGGTTAAGTGAACGTCTCTCCTTTTATCTGCTTTCAGGTGTGATTTCTATATTGCCCACACCTGTTACTTGCCCCAGGTGAGTTTACAGGAGCATCACATGCTTGTAACATTCTTATTTATCCGCAGTTGTGAAAGGGTGCCAATACTTTTGTCCAGCCCATTTTTGGAGGTTTGTGTGACATTATGTCGAATTTGCTTTCTTTCCTCCCTTTTTTTGTTTTGTCCCAATACACACAAAGGGAATAAACATGTGTATAGCAAAACATGTGTTAATGCAATACGTTTCGTGAGAAATACATGATTTCCTGGAGAAATATCAAGGGTGCCAACAATTTCGGCCATGACTGTATATATATATATATATATATATATATATATATACCAAAAGTGGCCAGCCTGAAGTGATCTAGCAGGACTTAATTTTCTGACTAAAGTTCCACTTTAAAGATAGATAGATAGATAGATAGATAGATAGATAGATAGATAGATAGATAGATAGATAGATAGATAGATAGATATCTTAGCATGGGTTACTGTGCCAGAGACAGTCAACCTACAGGGTTTGGAAAGGGGTTAAACAACAAGGAAAGCATTCAAAAATAATTGAGTGACTAATGCTTTCTGAGAAACATTGCCACTGTGTTAGAATGAAAGCATACAAGTAAATATATGGTTAAAATGTATGACTTTATTGTTGTATGGACCGTTCTTATAATACACACACCTCTGCTAGTCTGTAACATCACTCTGGTACTCTTGGCTTAGCTCTGCAGTTTCCTGGACAAGGTTTGCAAGAGGCTAATAGCCCCTCAAATTCAGGTATTTACACTGATTACATTAAAATAAATTCATGAAATGATTTGATTATGAATACAAAGTTGCATTCATCTTTGTCTTATATACCTTATCTGCCTGGAGTTCAGATTTCATTGGATACACATTGTTTAAAATGTAACAAATGTTAATTTGTTGAAAATTTAATTTGGCAAAATGTTGTCATATAATAATGTTCTGTAGAATTGTAGCAGAGAATACTGTTCTGCGTGTCACAGTAGCACTTTGGTCCTATCATAATGTGATGTACATTATGATGTGAATGTACAATATACAGTATATGATGTGAGTGTACAATATATATGTAAAGCACTGCGTAAATTGATGGCACTATACAAGTACCTGTAATAAATGAATAAAATAAAAAATATCATAAGAACTAGAATTGTACCCATCCATTCGATGCTGCAGGACCATGGACAGAGCCCATGTACACAATGCACTAACAAGTTTTCAAGAGCAAAGTGGTTTGTCAATGGAGGCACTATAAATGCCTGTCTGACATCAGCCTTAATCTGAACATTAGAAACGTTTCTTTGAGTCCTTGTGGACAGATAAAGCTGAGTTTTAACTGCTAGGCTGACAAAGAAAGTCATGAACAGGTGTGCTCCAGGTCCATGTCACAATGCCCCATTCATGTTTGATTGAAGTGGCTGTTTACATAAGAGTAGGAGAACTGAAGAATATTGTATTTTTTTAGATGGCAACACATTGGAGCAATATTTGCTCATTTACGAAATTCATTTGATGGGTTTGTTGCATGACCTTGTTTAAATGGGCTTCAGCTTGCAAAAGAACAGTGTGCACAGCAAGCCTTTATTTGCAGAGTTTTCAGCAAATTTGTCAAAGCATTTAAAGCAACCTTTAGCTTCATTCTGAGGTTGTTACAGACAGATTGAAGCGGGTGAGCTATCTGTCAATTTTAGTCAAGCTACTAGCAGGCTTCAGTCAAGTTTCAAGTAGTACTGACGCCTGCTAGCAGCTTGTTTAAAGTGACAGCCTGCGTTCTGTGTTTAACATTTCCAAACTGTAGATGAAGGTTGCTTTAAAGTCTTCAGCAATAGCTACTTTGTAAAATTTGCTGTACACACTGCTGGCACAAGGTGTGTGTATACGTATGTATGTACAATGTGTGTATATATATATTTATAGAGGGCTTCTCTGAAGCGGGGAGTAGAGTTTTTGGTGCTTTTTAAATAAGTAAAAAAATAACATGAAAGCTCATTAAAATCATATGATCTTTATTATGTTAATGTATTTTTTAAAGTCCTTATAAATCTGCAGGTTTTGTTAAATAATATCCAGGTAACCCAGTAATACACCCACAACCAAAAATGTCAAATATACTGGAGCTTACCAATCATTAGATGTGGTGGCTGCATCAGTTTTCTTTTCTTTTTCAAGCTTCATCCTGTTTTTACCCGTCGATCCAGCCAGAAACACACCTCTTGTATTAAAGTGCCTTCACTCTGGATGAAGGAGCAACGGAGACATCTTTGGACAGCAACGCTGTCATTCTACGGGAGGGGAGTGTTAGATATACTTGCAGGTTTAGATACACTAACATATTGAAGCCAAACTTCAGGTAACACTTTATAAACTGCTACAACAACATTTGTTTTGCCTTTTTGGGATAAAGGTTTTACATAAATAAAAGCTGACCATTGTAAACACCCTTGTTAGTGGTAAATGGTTTGTCTCATCCCTGCAACTCCTACATCTGCAATAAAGCTTGTTCTTTTGAAATACAATAGAGTTACTGGCTAAATCACCAGATGAAAATAAAGGACAGCCTGAAAAGAAAACAAATGCAGCCACCACATCTAAGAATAGGTAAGCTGCAGTATAATAAATATTTGCTTTGGGGTTTATTACTGCTTTAATATCCCTGATGATCCTGCCATGAAGATTCTTGTTCAGGCACTTCCTATTATGAGGTGACAGCACTCCGGGTCTTCCAATGGTCCTCCTGCATTCTCACCAGGGATTCCGATGGCAAGTGCAAGTAGACTTTTCATCACACATTATGCAGGCATGATCCACTGCTGTCATCATCATATAACCTACTCACAGAAATGTCTTGCAGCCATCATTGGATTGCTTGTAGACAGTGAGTGGCTGCAAGAGATCAGCAGAACTGAGATACAGCAAATAAATGAAAAAGAAGTTGAGAACAAATTATTTACTTAAAGTGTTACTAAACCCAGGGCCCTGCATTCACTATATCTGGTCTCCCACAGTACACACAACATGGAAATGCAATTACTTTATTAAATATAAACTGCTAAATACCTTTTCTAATCAGCAGTTAGAGCAGTCTTGTGACTTCTATCAGTGTCCAGCCAAGCACTGGTTAAAGCTTGTAGGAGGAGTTTTCTTTCTGATCTAGGAGGATGCAGAACCCCTGCTGACCTCTGTCTGTACAGCGCTGATTAGCCTTGTTTTGATCACATGCACTCTCCCAAGAAAAAAAAGAAAACATCTCTAGCAATACACACCAAACTGAGCATGTGCTCAGGAGATAAGAGGGTGACACTGGAAGACGGGAAGGATCAGAGAAGACAGGATTATCAGCATTTTTATACAATGCAGAGGATTAACCCCTTAGGTTCCACAGTGTGTATAACAAGCATACTTTACTGCATATAAAGACTGATTTTACTGTTGTGGGTTTAGTAGCATGTTAAAAGAATAGAAATGGTTTATGATACACAGTGCTTCAGCCTCTCCTTTAGGGTTTACCTCTGCTTTAGGCAATAGAATGATTATGCGATTTGCCTGAAAAAGCTTTGCCATGTAACTGTGTATGTACCTTAATGCAGCCAAATGCTGTAGTTTCCCTTCGAAGGCCGTTGGAACTTACTCCATTCCTCTAACACTGCAGAGGAAGTCTGAAAATGGAGCTGGATTAATCCACGCAGTCCTCCATGCCATGGAGATCAGTTCCACTGGGAGAAAAGTGCACTTAACAGCTCGCCATTCCACATTTATGTATTTTAATGAGAATGTAGGCACTCAGAATAATGGACGATAGCATTTAGGTATGAATTAATGTATATGCATATGTATGCAAGTTAGCCTTTTGCTGACTTTTGCTGTTAGCCTCGTTGGAAACTCCTGTCCCAGGTGAATTAATAAACTGCGTTGGCTGCGGAGAGGAATGGATTATTGTCAGTTTATTAATCCACCTCTTGGGGGCTTGGCTTAACATAAACATATGTGGCTGGTTTCACAGAACAGTCTCGCCTGTCACAAAGAAACTCCACCCTGCATAGTGCTTACAGCGCAGCTGCCCAAGGTGACAAGAGGGACTCTGAAAATAATCACAGCGTTTGCAAATTAAATTGGGATCCTTAAATTAATACTGATCTACTCAATTAGATGCTTTAGTAGCTGGATGCAAGGGAAAGACTGCCAACTAAAATATATTTTTTTTAATTAAAAAAAAAAATAAAAATAACACATGCTGATATCTTCAGCTATCTCGTCAGTCTGCAGGTCCAAGTCCAAGGTTTGTTTTATTACTTATAATTAAATATACTGTATATGTATTGCATTGTAGCAGCAGAGATTTTACAGCATGCTGGATTATTTATGTACAACAACCAGTAAATTATTAAAACAAAAAAGAAAACATTCAGGATAGGATCCCTTTCTGTCTATAATAGAACTTGTTACAGGGGTGGTTATTTCAGAGATCATTAGATCTACCCATGTATAATCTATAAAACGTATAAAACTATGGGCAGCCCAGTGGCTAAATGGTTAGCACTTCTGTCTGGCAGTACTAGGGTTGCTGGTTCGAATCCCAACCACGGCACCACCTGCCTGGAGTTTGCATGTTCTCCCTGTGCCTGCGTGGGTTTCCTCCCACACTCCAAAGACATGCCGGTAGGTTAATTGGATCTCTAAATTGGCCCTGGTATGTGTATGTATGAATGTAAGTTAGGGAACTTAGAGTGTACACCCCTTGTGGGTTAGGGACTGATGTGAAGGTACAATATATGTGTAAAAGCACTGCATACATTGACGGCACTATATAAGTGCCTGTAATAAACAAAAGCAAACATTTATTATATTGCAGATTGCCACTTCTTAGATGTGATGGCTGCATTCATTTTCTTTTTAGGTTTTCTATCTTTTATTTTCACCTTGTGAACCTGCCAATAAGTCTGTTGTTTTTCAACAGAACAAGCTGTCCTGCAGATGTAGCAGTTAGAGGGTTGAGACAAACCATTTAACACTGACTGGTGCTTACAGTAATTAGTTTTTATTTATCCATGTAAAACCTTTGTCTGAAAAGGAAAAAAACTGTTACTGCAACTGTTTAAAAAGTGTTAGCTGGAGTTTGGATTCAATTTGTTAGTGCATCTAAATCGGATGCATCTAACACTCCCCTCCCCCCAGACTGACAGTGTTGCTGTCCAAAGAGTGTATCTACCCTAATACAGGAGGTATGTTACTGACCGAATAACCAGCGGAAAACAGAGAGGAAAAGGCCTTAAAAAGTGAATGCAGCCACCACATCTAATGGTTGGTAAACTGCAATATATTACATTTTGGGTTTAATACCGCTTTAAGCACTTCTTCTCCAGGGAAAATAAGTTTCATGTTTGTACTTGCTACTTGTAATTGAGCTCCTCCAGCCCCCTTTATTAAAGGAAAGTTTACCTTTTTTAAAAAATAATAAAAATAAAAAATAATAAATGCAAACTTTTTGCAGGTAAAATATTTGCATTTATTATTTTTTTTATTAGAAGTCTGTGAAGCATTGCGCCTGCAGTCAGCAGATCATGGGTGCAATCTCAAACTCCTGCAGACTGTCAGTGTAGCTGTCTACCTGTACCTTGTACAGTATGGGCAGGCATTTAATGAATGACAGGAAGAATCAATCAACTACCTAGAGCACTCATGAGCACCCTGGTAGTTCATTGAGAACTACAAGCCGTCAGTTTCAGTGGCTGACAGTAGTTCTAGTTCTCCCATTCACAGAATGAATGATGCGGCCGGATGGGTGGATCCCTGAGTGGCCTCATTTTTAAAAAAAAATTGTGACAGGGTGATGGGAGAAAACCCCTTGTTCACTGTCTCAACGGGGCTCACGGGGGTGGGGACAGGCTGCTCATTTAGTAACATGTTACATGTTTCACCCTGGATATGGACTCTCTTCGGAGGATCCCTTTCTGAGGTTTGGAGACCAAACCTGAGCAGCACACTGAAGATATGGCTGAACCAATGTTTTTTAAAGTGGCAGAATGGTAGTTTTTGTCTCTTGAGTAAATACCAGTTTTAATGCATAATATTGGTCTGGTAGCCTTGCTAGCAGCAGCTTGGCATTGCATTAGTGTTGTATATTATTCCAGTTTCCTGCGCTTATGGTCATCCCCTAGTTACTGGAGCTGCTGGACACTCAATACTTTCCTAGATATTAAACAACTGCTCCTGATGACTTCAAATGAGGAAACGTGTAGGGTGGAGCTTGTCGTACGTAACTTCTGTTTTCTGTAGCACATGGTGTTCTCTATTGACAGGAAACAGAAAAAACATTAGTGGATTGCCTGGGCTCTGTACAAAACATGTATATGTATAATCGGGTGTGCCCCTATCTATCCTAATAAATAGGATTACAAATATTATACATATTGTGTGGTGTTAAAAAAAAAAAAAAAAACTGGAGCTAAATGGAGGAGGGATGATTAATTCCTGTAATCAGGTGGGCTACCTTGAGAGTTCCTGTGCTCCAGAGGAGGTGTTGAAGGAGAGGACCGAAATTGAAAACAAAGCACTCTTAGACCTACTTGTTGATTTAGGAGTCCACACCTCAAGTGTTTTTGACGTTGGGGATATGGAACACAGCAGAAGAGCACATGGACTGTCATGGTTCTCACTAGAGTGTTTGGAGTAAAACAAAAACACAAACTATCACAATATAAGCACAAATTGTAAATACACAAAACAAATGGGGGCAGATACACTATAGTACCAAGACATTAAAATCTGCTTGAAGTGACCAATCACATTGGAAGGGATTGCACTTTTATTATACTATAATTTAGAGCACTGCATGTTGAAGATTTGCATGCTATTGCTCAGTCTAATCCTTCTCCCAGATCCTTTTCCATCCTCAATTTCCCTAGATGTTCTTCCCCTAATGAGTATCTTGTATATATATTTTTACATTTCTTTACATTTTTAATTTGGTTTATTACTTTATCTGCCATACAGCTTACCATCCCTTTATTTTATCAAGGTCTCCTTGTAAAAATGTCCATATCCTTTGGTAAAGCAATTGCCTTGCATAGCTTGGTAACATCAGCAAACACTGAAATTGAATGTTTATTCCAATCTCTACTCAAACAAGTTAAATAAAATTGCTCCCTGAACAGAGCCCTAGGGGCACACCACATACAGCTTTAAACCATTTAGAAAAAGGGCCATTTATAGCCAGGACCGGGACAAGGGGTGGGCCGGAGTGGCGGCCACTCCAGGCGCAGAAGTTTACTGTATGGATGGGGGCACCAGTGAGCTCATTCTGATCCAAGGCATTTTGACAAGCAGGTGATTGCTGCGGGTAGCGTCCCCTGAGCTCGCACATAATAAAGGGGGGGGGGGCACAGTTTGGCTTCTTTACCCTGGGCACTGGATGACCTTGTCCCAGCACTGTGTATAACTCCTTTCCGGATACATTCCTTTAACCAGTTTTTTAATCATGTATATAAAATTCTTTCAATGCCATTATTTTGAAAATGAAGTATTTGTGGGGTACTGCATCGATGATTTAGCAAAATGCAGATAAACTACATCCACAGGCCTTAATCGCTACATGTCTACAAATTACTACTCAGTCATAAAATGTTCAAAGGTTGGTCTGACAAGAAAGTTTTTCCTAAATCCATGTTTGTTGGTATTATCAATACACATTTTGCTGGCAAATTCTTGGATATGATCTCTTATCCTTTCTTCTAACACTTTACATACTATTGATGTTAGGCTGATCATTCTGTAGTTTCCAGGTATTTACTGTATCTCAGCCTCAGAGACCTAATTTGGGTCATGCCAAAGCAAACGCCATAAGAAAGGATGGTCTCATTTTCCTTAACAGTCTAAAACTCTTTTCCATTTAATAGCATTCATATAAATCCCTGTATCAACATTCTGTTCTGCATTATATAGTTTATTTTTTTATTATTTTGGAAAACGTACCAGCACTTTTTTTTTACCTCCCTAGCGGTCTGATTATGTTTATATTTCTGTGCTCAAAGCGGTACATTTTTTTGCATGGAAATATGTTTTTTTTTTATTGTAGGCCTGTAATTTTTAGGAATAACTCACTGAAATCTGTCCGAACAAGAGTCTAGTAAACATCCCGGTTATGTTAAAATTTGAAACACAAAATCATAAATTATAATTTAATAAATAATCATAAAAAATAATAATACATTTAATTCAATAATATAATCAAACCAAAAACACTGAAATTTGAAATATAGCGGCAAGTTTGCACATCACTGAGCAAAGTCGCAAAATCGTTTTCAGTGTCTGATGACGAATTTCCCCACGAATCATTATCACTTAATTCTGCAAGTAGTTCTAATTTACTATCGCTGTTCTCTAGCTGGTCTACAACTGCTTTTGACCTAAAGGGATGCTTTTTGCACTCCATGGACATTTCTCAG